TGTGTGTCAGAGTAGAACTGTGCTCCATAGGGTTCTCAGTGGATGATGTTTCATGAATAGATCCCACATACGGTGTCCCGTGTGTGTCAGAGTAGAACTGTGCTCCACAGTGTTCTCAGTGGATGGTTTTTCATAAGTAGATCCCAGTCATGGTGCCCCGTGTGTGTTGGAGTAGAACCGCGCCCCACAGGGTTCTCAGTGTCTCCTTCTGAGACACCTCCGAGTAGACCCGAGTAGCTAGCCTTTCGGTTCTCAGCTGCGCGTGTTAATGGTGTTACTGACTGAGTGAATGGGTTGCTTGTTGTAATAGGACGGGGTTCGGCTAGCTGATCTCTGCAAACCTCTGCAAGCCTCGGGTGCCACATTTCTCACCCTAACACCCCTGTGGGCCCTTCCCGCGGTTACCAGAGCCTGCGCGTCCTGTGATTCCCGCAGCAACCCCTCCACCTGGATCATTCTTTCTGTCAGAGTCAGCATGATTTGACGGACTTTGGTGCTGGAACACTTAAGCTGGTCCCCCAGAAAGTGCTGGACATTCTCCATGTGTCTCCAGAACGCTTCCATCTGTAAAAGGAGAGAGCGTGAAGTAGAAGGGGGTGGCCGTGGGAGGGAGAAAATGTTCAGAAAAGGATGACCTGGTTTTACTAGGCCCTTGTGATTCGCTCCTCATCACAAGCGGACATTCTAAACAGTCAAGTGAGTCGGCATCTAGAGAGTTCCTTCCCCAGTCCAATGCTGGTGTCAGTGAGCTTCCAGATGGGTTTCAGCAAATGCAGGGCCCTGCTTGCTTGTAAGACAAGGAAGCCAGTATCACCCAGCTTCAACAGCTTAAAGACACAAGTACAGATCCTAATTGTTACATGGGGGACTCGGGAGATGGGACAACATCAACGTGGGGGACTCGTGAGACGGGACAGAGTCAACATGGGAGACTCGTGAGACGGGACACTGTCAACATGGGGGACTCGTGAGACGGGACAGCGTCAATGTGGGGGACTCGTGTGATGGAATGCTGTCAATGTGGGGGACTCGTGAGATGGGACAGTGTCAGCGTGGGGGGACAGTGTCAGCGTGGGGGACTCGTGAGATGGGACAGTGTCAGCGTGGGGGACTCATGAGATGGAACACTGTCAACGTGGGGGACTCGTGAGATGGGTCAGTGTCAACGTGGGGGACTCGTGTGATGGAACACTGTCAACGTGGGGGACTCGTGAGACGGGACAGTGTCAACATGGGGACTCGTGAGACGGGACAGCATCATGGGAGCATTAAAGGGGATTAAACATATTTTGAAAATAAAGGTGGCTTCAGCTACAGTCCCGGTGTGGTGCTGTGGGTTAATGTGCTATACCACAAGGTTGTTTTTAACCACAAGGTCGGCGGTTCAAGCTTACCAGTCACTCCTCAGAAACCCTATACAGGGTTGCTATGAGTCGGAACTAACTTGGTGGCACTTAACAACAGATACATTCCTGGTGTGGTGCTGTGGGATAAGTTTTGGACCGCAAGGTCGGTTTGAACCATGAGGTTGGTGGTTCGAACCCACCAGCTGCTCCTAGGAAACCCTATACAGGATGAGTTAGACCTGACTTGACTGTACTTAACAACATTAAGCCATTCAGGAGTCGTGGTGTGGCACTGTAGGATAAAGCACGGGACTGCAGGGTCACTCTGAGCCACAGGGTCAGCAGGACGAACTCAGCAGCCGCTCCTAGGAAAGCCTAGACAGAATTGCTGAGTCAGAACCAGCTCAAAGGCACTTAACAACAACAACCAATTAAACATTAGTTTTCACCCTGGAAGCATAAAAGAATATTACAGGTTTCATGAACACACTTCGCTTTGAAATGCTTTTCCTTTTTCTTGCCCTTCTTGTCGGAGGCAGAGCTGGGAACTGCTAAGTGACTTAGACCTTCAGAACTGCTAAGTGACTGAGACCTGGTTGTGTAGTGGTTAAGCGGTTGGTTGCAAACAGCAAACTCGATGATTTGAACCCACGAGCTGTTCTGCAAGAGAAAGATGAGGCTGTCTCCTTCTGTAAAGACTTACAGCCTTGAAAACCCTGTGGGGCAGTTCTACCCTGCTCTGAAACGCCGCTGTGAGCTGGAATTTGTCTTTTTTTTTTGGTGATGTGACTCTGTAATCGTTGTAGCTTCTCTGAACTGTAAGAATCATTCAGGATGCCAACAGTCAGACAGCTTCCCACTACAGTCCGTGGGCTACATGCCAGGGTTTGAGCACCACACATCTTAATTCTAGATAAAACGTGTCTTGGTGGGCATAACACAGACTAGGTCCTCGACTTCAAACCTACCCATAGGTACCTTACAAAAGGGTCTAGTGACCTGCGTCCCCACCGTCACAGCTTTGAAAACTCACGGGAGCAGTTCTGCATGAGGTTGCTATGTGTTTGGATCCACTTAACGACAGCTGGTTTGATTTAGGGACAGGCTGGGGGCAGTAAGGTAATTGCTCATAGTCCCGGAGCGAACTAACGAGAAGCAGATTTTGACGGAGGTCCACGGTGTGAGGCTGGGATTTTCTTGATGTTGGCTGTGTCCTGAAGTGAAATGGATATTTCTCGGGGCTGCACAGGGCATGGGATGGGGAGGAAGAAACCCATATGGATCTTGTTGCCATCTTGTTGGGTCGAATTCAAGGCCCCCTTACGTATCATAGAAGGAAAGGCAGCCTCATCCTACACTTCTTTCAGGATTATGGGATGTGGACGCCCAGGGTTGTGGTCACCGTGTTAACTCATCTCACGGAGGGGCTTCCTCATATCCATGGACCCTTTACTTCTACTTCACAAAACAGGACAGGCTTTTCCAGAAAACAATCTTTCCTGTTGACAGGGTCGAATTCAGCTAGCCAGAGTCTCAGCATCCCCATTTCTATGGAACAACTGGTTGTGTTGTTAATATTAGTCTTTGCTACAGCTACACTGGAAGGAGCTCTGGTAGCGTAGTGGTTACGAATCGGGCTGCGAACCTTAAGGTCAGCGGTTCGAAACTACCAGCTGCTCCGCGGGAGAAAGATGAGGCTTTCTGCTCCCGTAAAGATTTACACCCTCGGAAACCCTGTACAGGGTCGCTATGGGTCGGACCCGACTCAACGGCACTCAACAACAACAACAACAACAGCTACACTGGAGTCCTGGTGTGGTGCTATGGGTTAATGCACCAGACTGCAAAGCCATTTGAACTGCAAGGTCGGCGGTTCAAGCTCACCAGCTGCTCCTCGGAAACCCTATACAGGGTCGTTATGGGTCACAACCGACAACAACAACAAACAGCTATGGGGCCACCGCTTGTCTGTGTGTTGGCTTCCACGTTGCCGTGATGCTAGAAGCTATGCCATGGGGAATTTGAACGTAGGCAGGTCACCCGGGGTGGACAGATTTCAGCTGAGCTTCCAGACTAAGATGGACTAGGAAGAAGGAGAGACGGACTACTTCCGAATGTCTAGTCACTGAAAACCTTATGAACAGCAGTGGAACGCTGTCAGATATAGCACCAGAATATTGAAACATGATGAAGAGAACCGGAATACTGTCAGATATACTGCACTCAAAATCACAAGCGTAGCAGCAATTGTGAGGATGATGCGGGACTGCGTGGTCTTTAGTTCTGTTGTGTGTAGGGTTGCTAAGGGTCAGAACCAACTCGACAACCCCTTACAACAACAACAGCTACATAGGAGTCCTGGTGTGGCGCTGTAGGATGAAGCACTGAATTGCAAGATTGGTTTGAACCACAAGGTCAGCAGTTCAAACCCACCAGCCGCTCCTTGGCTAAGTGGCAGCATCGATGGACTCAAGCGTGGCAACAGTAGTGAGGTTGGCCCAGGATCGGGCCGTGTTTCGTTCTGCTGTGCATCAGGTCACTATGGGTCGATACTGACTCGAAGGCACCTAATAACAACAACAACGCCTAAGATATCCATATTTATGTGTTCCCTTTCATTTTTGACAACTTCCAATTTCCCCAGATTCATCCTTCGTATGTTCAATGTTCTGATTTTCAGTGAATGTGTACAGCTGTTTCTCTTCATTTTGAGTCGTGCCCCATCAGCAAATGAAGGTCCCATGGGCTTTGCTCCATTTGCGTCATCACGTCCAACTCCACTTTGAGGAGGCAGCTCTTCCCCAGTCACATTTTGAGTGTCTTCCAACCTGAGGGGCTCATTTTCAGCACTATATCTGACGGCGTTTCTCTGCTATTCATAAGGTTTTCAGTGACTAAGGACTCTGAAGTAGTTTGTAACTCCTTCTTCCTAGTCTGTCTTTGTTGGAAGGTCATCTGAAACAGCTACGTAAAATGACGCTTGTGCTTTGTAACGTCACTCACAGCAACTGTAGGACGCTGCCAGGAGAAAACCTAGCCTGCAGGGATTGGCACCTCTTTGACAGTCTGGCTTTCATGTCAGGAGCTCTCTGCAGCACTGTGGACCCCTAACCTGGCACAACTCGGCTCCTCACCTCATGCCACCTGGAGGGGACTTCCCGCCTCCCCAGAACCCCAACTCATGCTTCTCTAGCCCCTCTCCCCACAATTCTTTTTGTGAAGTGCTATTGAATTGGTCTGACTCTTAGAAACCCTGTGTAGGGTTTCTGAGGAGCGGCTGGGACTGATGAGTTTGGACTACCAACCTTGAGATTGAAACACAATTTATGGTCGAGCGCTGATCCTACTGAACCACCCCAGTACCCCACCTCCCCACAATAGGGCCCTGATTTCTAACTGTTGTAAGAGAATGCTGACTCAGCTGGGCTCTCAGCCAGGGGGGCATTCCTGTCTTCCATGAGGGGTCTGAGTTCAAGTCCTGGCAAATGTATCTCTACCAGTGGACATCAGCTAAGATGCTCAACACAATGTGCCAATAAAAACCCTGTGGAGGGGGGAAGCAAGATGGCAAAGCGAGTGGGTGTTTTCATTTACTACCCCAGCCGTTGGTACCGTGAACAACAAATCAAAACAGGCACACACTGAGGTCTTAGAACTCTGGGCGGCAGCCGAGGTGTGGGAGAGTTCGGGTGAGTACAAAGTTGGGGAATGGAGGAGCAGGGACAGCAAGGAGCTAGGAGAACCCCCGACTAATACCCGGAGCACTTGGTTGGGCAATACGACCAACAGGGGATTAACCTGAGGAAGCTGTGACCCCCATATTCTAAGGCGGCACAGATTGGCCAGGGGAGTCTGTGGGTCATGCAATTGGGAGGGGGCAAAGGAGAAGAGTCCTAGTGTGGCACTGTGGGTTAATGTGCCAGACTGCAAAGCCGTTTGAACTGCAAGGTTGGCAGTTCAAGCTCACCAGCAGCTCCTCAGAAACCCTATACAAGGTCGCTATGGGTCGGAATAGACTTGACGGCACTTCACAACAACAACAACAAAGGGAGAGCATGGTGTATGTGGGAGAGCCGTGGAGTCTCGCTGAGGCCCCAGATGGAGGGACACTAGGACCAGGAAGCACTTCAAGGGCAGTGGGGTGAGGGGGATACTTCAGACAGACAGCACAGAGGGAAATGTGGGTCCCTGCACACAGTGACACTGGAGGGAAGCCTAAGCAAGGGCACCTGTGAAGGAAAGTCACCTTCACCATGGACACGCCAAGCCCCACCGCTTACATCACTGTCTGCCACCCGCTAAGCACACTTCCAGTGGCGTCAGTGAATGAATTGCAGAGATCAAGCTCCGGAAACTGAATACAGAAAACCCTCAGTGTTAGAGTGCCCTCTAGTGGTGCTCACGAGGCAAACCAAGCCCGCTGCTGCTCTGTCAAGTCTGAGGCTTGTTAATTACAGTCCAGTTGGTTTCCATTCATAGCCACCCTGTGCAGGGTTTCCAACGTAAGTCTGAACCGCCAACCTTGTAGTTTAAAACAATCTAGTAGTCCTGTGCTTATCCGCTTATCCTACAGCCACACCAGGGCTCCTTGTGAGTCCTAGAGACCCTGTGTGTGGTGGGTGTAGGAAGTGGGGTGGGGGGGTTGTTAGTGATGGTGGAGTGGCTGGTGGGGGCGGGCTGCTGATAGTCCAGTTGGGAGCCAGGCATTTGGTCGCTGTGCCAACAGGGCACCTGATCGGAAAAACTTCCCAGGAAAATCTGAAAACAGGATTGACATTTAAAAAGAAGTAAAGAAAGGAAAGTAAAATGGTATCAAAATGGCCCAGATTCAATAAAAAACAGTAAAACACATAAAATCAGAAGAGAAGAAGCACCATCAAAATCAAAACATGAAGCAGAAGAAATTTCTCCTATGGAGATCACACTAATGGAAAATAAATGGAAAAATTTCAGACTGCTTTCTACTCCCGTAAAGATTTACACCCTAGGAAACCATGTACAGGGTCGCTATGGGTCGGAACCGACTCGACGGCACATAACAACAACAACAACAACAATCACATTTGGTAGCGTAGTGGTTACGAATCAGGCTGCAAACCGCAAGGTCAGCAGTTGGAAACTACCAGCTGTTCTGTGGGAGAAAGATGAGGCTTTCTTCTCCCGTAAAGATTTACAGCCTCGGAAACCCTATACAGGGTCGCTGTGAGTTGGAACCGACTCCAAGGCACACAACAACAACAACAATCATGTTTAGGGAGTCCTAGTGTGGCGCTGCAAAGGAGCTCTGGTAGCGTAGTGGTTACGAATCGGGCTGCGAACCTTAAGGTCAGCGGTTCGAAACTACCAGCTGCACCGCGGGAGAAAGATGAGGCTTTCTACTCCCGTAAAGATTTACACTCTCGGAAACCCTATACAGGGTCGCTATGGGTCGGAAACGACTCGATGGCACATAACAACAACAACAACAACAACAGTGTGGAGCTGCAGGTTAATGCACCAGACTGCAAAGCCAGTTGAACTGCAAGGTCGGCAGTTCAAGCTTACCACCTGCTCCTCGGAAACCCTATACAGATTCGCTATGGGCCAGAACCGAATCGACAGCACTTAACAACAACAACAATCATGTTTAAGAGTCCTGATGTGGCGCTGTGGGTTAATATACTGGACTGCAAAGTCAGTTTGAACCGCAAAGTCAGCGGTTCAAGTTCACTAACCGCTCTTAGGAAACCCTATACAGAGTGGCTATGGGTCAGAACTGACTCAATGGCACATAACAACAACAACAAACATGTTTAAAGAAGGCAAGAGGCACAAAGAAATGGAAACTAGTGAAGAATGAGAAAACAAGTGGAGGTACAAAACAAGAGAATCGGAAAAAACCTTGAAAATATTTAAAATACACCAAGAGAATTACTGGAAGTGAAGGATAAAGTAACTGAACTAGCAAAAGGCAAGATAAACATCCAACAACAGACAGAAAATAGAATAAATGACCTAGAGGAAAAAGCAAATGAACACACGAAGTGTCAAAAGAAAAGAACTAGGAGAGTGATCCCAAATAGAAATATGGGGTTCACTTGAGAAATTGAACATTATCAGAGATGTAATCACCCAGACCTGAAAATAAACCCTGCAAACACAGGAAGCTACACACATCCAGCTGAGTTATGGTAAACCAGTACAGTGGCCAATAGCAATGGGCTCAAACAGAGCAATGATTACAAGGTTGGCGCAGGACTGGGCAAGGTTTGGTTCTGTTACACATAAATGCTATGTTGTGCTGTGAGCTGGTACCAACCCACTCGATGGCACCTAACAACAAGACACAACTGCCACTCCGAAGAGACACAAAAGATCATCTCTGTGACAAATTCCAATAAAATTATTGAAAGCCAAAGACAAGAGAGAATTCTGCCAAGTTGTAAGAGAAAAATGCAATCTAATATATGAAGGGTCTTTTATAAGACTCAGTCAGATTTTTCTCCCAGAAATTCTAGAGACCATAAAACTTCCTCCTTCAGAATCACTGGGTCTTGATCATATGCTACCTCTTGAAATGGATGAACATCAACCATGTCTTTCTGGTACAGTGACTCTGCGTATTCCTGCCATCTTCTTTTGATGCTTTCTGTATCATTCAATATTTTGTCCATAGGAAAAATTTGGAAGTATTTCAAGTTAAGGTTTGAATGTTTCCTTCATTTCTTTCGAGAAATGCTGAGCATGTTTTCCCCCTAACCAGAAAGTAGACCCATATTAAGTGGGTGAAGGGAGGGGCACTATACAATCAGGGGGGAGGGGTTCAGTACAAAATGAGGAAACCCAAGGGAGACAGTAAGAGAACAAGAATTTAAAGGTGACAATGATAACAATTATTAAACACCCACCCCGCAGAAATAAGAAAGTAAAAATCTGTTATTTGGGCTAGTTTTCAAAACACAACTATTATTACTAAGTACCGTCAAATCGGTTCCAACTCAGAGCGACCCTGAATACCGTTTCCGAGGAGAGATTGGTGGGTTTGAACCGCTGACCTGTGGTTAGCAGTCCAGTGCTTATCCTACAGAGCCACACCAGGAGTTCAAAATAAGATTGTTGGTAAATGCCATCGAGTCAGGTCCGACTCATAGCGACCCTGTATAGGGTTTCTGAGCAGTTTGAACTACTGATCTTGTGATTTGAACCGACCGTGTGGTCCAGGGCTGATCCTGCAGAACCACACCAGGACTCCAAAATGTGATTACAAAGTGAGAAATCATACCATCTACTTCCCACAGAAACGAAAGACCAAGAATCCAACAGCTGATGGATGTGTACACATCTGAGCGTGGTACTGCTGTTGTGTTTTCTGGGTGCACGGGCCTCCGTTTCCCATGAAGGAGGAAATAACTTGGGATCAATAATAAACATGATCTTTGACTCATTCAGACAACTGGTCCCTTTAAATCAGACACTGGACCGACCAAGCTAGCTCTGCCTCAAGCCTTCAGAAACTCCTCCTGCCCTCCGGCTTAAAGTACATGGATCTCAGGTTACCACGGAAATCCTCCGCCCACAACTCTCCGGCTTTCTTTTACTGCAACAACAGACTCAAACTTACCCAGGATTCTGAGGATGGCACGAGACCGGCTGACATTTCCTCCTATTATATTTAAGGTGGCCATGAGTGGGGCCAAACAAACAGTAACCTGCTGCCCAGCCCTCCGGGCTTCCATCTCTGCCCACCCACTGACCAACCCCCAGGCCAACTAGTGTGTGAACGGTCCTTACTTCTAATACATTTCTGTTGTTAGGTGTCAGTTCTGACTTAGGCTGTCGTTGTGAACTGCCGTTGAGTCGATGCTGACCCATAACGACCCTATATAGGGTTTCTAAAGAGCCGCTGGTGAGCTTGAACCACCGACCTTGCAGTATGAATGACTTTGCGGTCTGACGCATTAGCCCACAGAGTCACACCAGGACCCCTCATAGTGACCTTACTTATTATGCAAAACAGAACAAAACCCTGCCTGGTCCTGTACCAACCTCACAATTGTTGTTACACTCGCTGCAGACACTGTATCTCCCTGGGGGTCTTCCTCTTTTTCTCTGACCCTCCACCTGACCAAACATGATATCTGTCTCCAGGGACTAGCCCCTCCTGACACTATGTCTGAAGTATGAGAGATGAAGTTTGGCCATCCTGGCATCCAAGGAGCATTCACGCTGTTTTTCTTCCAACACAGCTCTGTTTATTCTTCTTAAGTCCACGGTACTTTTAGTCCCGGGCCAAAACGAACTCTACCTTGCCTTGTGCCTCAGCCTTCCACCTTGCTTACAGATGATTTTCTTATTGCTGGTCTACCTCACACCCTCACGTGGCACTGTAGGATAAGCACTGGATTGCAAGGCTGGTTGATGGTTCAAACTCACCAGCTGCTCCACGGAAACCCTACACAGGGTAGCTATGAGTTGGAACTGACTAGACGGCACTTACCAACAACAATCCCCACACTCTGGCTGTGAACACGTTTTTGGCAGGGCCAGACCCAAGCTCATTTTGAATCGCCAGAGAAAGATTTTGAATCACCTGAGAAAGAGGGGGCGCTAAGAAAATGCTTTGAGATAAATATAATCAGAACAGACAGGGACTGGCTGGAGGTGGCGGAACTCCCAAGAGTGAAAGAGATATTTTTGGGAAAACCATCGTCTTCAGAATTTAAAACAGGCTTCTATGAGTGATGGCCAGCATTTGAAAGACGTGAGCAGCTAGAATCCTCTGTACCCCAAGGGCAGCAATGACACAGAGGGTGAGAGCCAGGTTTGAATAATAAAAAGATCAATTAAGAATTTAAACGAAGAGAATTCATTAAAGAGCTCCCTGTGTAAATCTTTGCTTTTTAATTACATCTTCTCTATGTCTTCACTTCAGAACCTAGTTTCCTGTCTCCAGGGCAGAACACGACAGGGAATTCAAGTGTTAACCATACTTCCACGTATCACCGCTTTAATCTAACCAATTTGACCGCTCCAGAAACGGAACGAAAACCCATCACGTACATTATCTATCAGCTGCTCAGAGTACTCTCTCTCCTTCCTCTCCACATCGGCCTGGGAGATGTATTCGGAGTCACCGACACCCAACATTTCCGTGTTTGACAATTTGGTCTGGAGTTTCTTTTCTAATTCTTCCAAATCCTGAGAAAAAAAAAAAAAGAAAACAAGTCTGTAAGTAGATTTGGATGCAGGGACAGCAAGGTGGGTTTGAACAGCAAGGTTGGTAGTTCAAATTCAACCTGATTCAGAAATGACCTGATGGCACTTAATAACAACAACCATACCGTCATATATGGAGTCCTGGTGTGGCATTGTAGGAGAATGCACTGGGCCTCAAGGTCGATATGAATGCACTGGACCTCAAGGTCGATATGAATGCACTGGACCTCAAGATCCACAGTTCATGCTCATCAGATCTCCTGTGAAAACCTACACAGGGTCGCTATATGTCAGGACCAACTCAATGGTACTTAACAACACAACAACGGAGAATGGCACACATGTATGGATAGGTGTATCTGATGTTAAGTGCCGTCGCATCGGTTCTCATTCACAGTGACCCTGTTTAGGGTTTCCTAGGAGCTGCTGGTAGGTTTGAACTGTCAACCCCATAGCTAGCAGTCCAGTGCTGATCCTACACGTCTGTGTGTACTGCACATATATCCTGTATGTAACAAACCCCACAGGGGACTCAATTACGGAAGCTTCACAGATAACCAAACACCTCACAGGACTGGCCTACTGGGTTTCAAAGGCTTGGACCCACTCTTCTGGGAAAAGCTTACTCAACTGACATAACGTAGTTCACAAAGATAACGTTCTACATCTTAGTTCGGTGAACAGCATCTGGGGCTTTGAAAGTCTGGGAGCGGCCACCAAAGAGACAATTACCGGAGTGAAAGAGAATGAAGGAAATCAAAGGGTTACAGTAAAAAAGTTCTACGGGGCCAGCAGGCCACAGAAACCACACCTGTTATAGTCCAAGAGCAGAAGAACTAGATGGTGCCCACCTACCACTACCAACTACTCTGACTAGGGGCACAAAACAAGACCCTGTCAATGCTCTCCCCTCTGTACACAGAGTAGATAGGGATGGGCTACTTAGACATTGGCTACCTAAAATGAGGGGGCAATAAAGGCACGAAGGGACTGGCTTACAAGGTTTCAGGAGGGAGTTTAATTCAAGAGTGTGTAGGGGAAGGTAGAGTCCCCACTGAATAGTTTTCATCTTGTCTAGATGGGTCTGGTGAAAGGAGATGGGGATAAGATTCTTATGATTCAATAGTGAGTAATTGTTATCATGACTAATTGTGACTGTCACAATTGTAAAGATAGAAGTTTTATAACAAAAATGGGAGAGTAGTTAATTTTACAGTCCAGGAATAGAGGACCCTAAGACCATCAAAGGAGAAGAGCACAAGCAGAATGCGAGACCCTAGCCAGAGAAGCAGCGACACCAGAGATGGAGGCAGAGATGGGGACATGGAGAGAGGGAGCAGCTGAGGACTCTAGATTCATGGGAAGAGAGGCTGGTAGCCAGGAGACAGACTTGCAGAATGTGCCCTTTGGTGGTGTAAATTATTATATATGACTGTGTTTCTGTGTACATCCCTCCCCTTCAAAAAACAAAAAACCCAGAGGGAATAGAAGGAAATACTGTTGAATGATGGATGATGCATGGAGGAGATTGTAATTAATCATTGCAATGAAACAATGAGTGTGAAACCGATGTTCTCACATTCAAAATTTAAAGAACAAAAAAAGAAGGTCCAGGACAGAATGGAAGGAAAACATGGAATAAAACTTGAATTTCGACTAAAGGTCAGACTTACAGAAGCCCCCAAACTATCATACACCCCTACTGTCATCGAGTCGATTGTGACTCCGGTATGTAGGGTTTCCCCTGCTGCGTTTCTTTGTGGGAGCAGAAAGCCTCCACTTTCTTCTAAAAATCAGCTAAAATAACTAACCTTACAGTTATCAGCCCAAGTCGTAACCCATCAAAGTACCAGGGATCACTTTAAGATCTCCTTTAATCATGGAACTGAAGCTATTTCTTCAAATCACTTTTCATCTAAATGATAGACTGGCTTCTAAAATAAACAAGATCGCCCATGAGTAATGTACGCCCTTGAACAATGAATTATATGAAACCCAAAGGTCAGTATTTACCCAGAAACAAAGACAAGAAGGCAAGGAGAGGAAGGGAAGCTAGAGTAATGGAAACAGAACAAACAGAATGGAAATAATGAGAATTGAAACCAATGTTCTGGAACCATGTTATTAAAAATCATGAAAGGGGAACCTAATTTGCTGTGCCAATTTATAAAATGAAATAATATTTTTAAAATCCAAGAAAGTAGACAAAATAATCCAATGTGTCTTAAATTCCAGTTAGTTGTTGGCGTTGTTAAGTGCCGTCGAGTCGGTTCTGACACATAGCGACCCTGTATGGGTTTTCCAAGGAGTGGCTGGTGAGCTTGAACCTCCGACCTTGCAGTTCAAACTGACTTTACAGTCTAGCGATAACCTACAGTGCCACACCAGGACTCCAATCCCAGTTAGAGGCTTCTGTTTTTTTCTAAGATATCACACAAACCACCACTTGTCTTTCAGTGTGTCATACTGTGGTGACTTGTGTGTGGCTGTGATTCTGGAAGCAGTGCCACAGGGATTGTATACCCCAGCAGGGTCATCCACGGTGGACAGGTTTCAGATGAGCTTCCAGACAAAGACAGATTAAGAAGAAGGAGAAACAGACTACATCCAGATATTTACTTGTTGAACCTTATGAACGGCAGTGGAACACTGTTGAATACTGAAACATGATGAAGGCATGTGGAAGGCAGTTCTGCTTACCCCAGAGCTCAGTTCATTGGTACATAACTAACACAGGTGTGGGGCCAGGTTCATAAGCAAAGATCAAAACTGTGCCTGAGTATCTAAGCAGAGGCCTCGTGTAACTGGAGAATATTGAAAGGACCACGGACTGCCAGAAGAACAAACCGATCTGTGTTGGAAGAAGTGTAGTCAGAATGCTCCTTAGAAGCCAGGATGGCCAGACTTTGCGTCTCATACTTCGTACACATTAGCAGGAGAAGGACATCATGCTTGGTAAAGTGGAGGGTCAGTGAAAAAGAGGAAGACCCCTAATGAGATGGATTGGCACAGTGGCAGCAGTAATGAGCCCGAGTGCAACAAGGATGGTGAGGTTGGCCCAGGACTGGGCAGTGTTTCGTTCTATTGTACATAAGGTTGCTATGAGTCAGTACTGACTCGACGGCACCTACCAACAACACCTCCTCAAGAATGAAATCAGAGTTCATTTTCAGAAGAGGAACCCCCTGTGTGGGAAGCTGAGATGTCCAAAGCCCCCCAGATACGGAGCGGCAGTGCTCAGCTAGTCATTTGGGTCTATCTAGACATTGCATTCTCTTCCAATCGCACACAACAAGCTACCATTCTCTGAAGAGTAGGGGCCACTTCTGAGCACTTGTTATGTTTGGAGCTGTAAGTCTTCGAGTCCTTGAGAAATGGAAGCAGGCATTTAAAGCACTTGGCTAGACTGTTACTCTTTTACTTTCTGTTGAGGTAGTCCCCTGTGCACATGGAGATTGGACTCTTGTGCTCCACAGGATTTTCATTGGGTGATATTTTGGAAGCTGACTGCCAGGTCTTTCTTCCTCCCAGTTTGTCTTAGTCTGAAAGCTCTGCTGAATCCTGTTCAACACCACAGCCGCACACACACCTCCACAGACAGACGAGGGGCAGCTGCTCTTGAAGTGCACTAAACTGAACCCCAGTCTCTCGCATGGAAGGTGAGGATTCTACCACAGAACCAACGCAGCTGTCCTTAGTCTGATGGAATGTGGTCAGTACTCATTATGAAGATGCTTGCCAAGGTCACACAGCTCTGGCAGTGGTAGAGGTAGGTTCTTACTCTTTTCATTATGACGTAAGGCATGCTTTCATTATTACTGGCATAATTTTGAAAATCAGTATTGTATTTTACAATTGGAAATTCATTTAAACTCAATGAGCCTTAGATTACTCAACTGGCAAATAAAAACAGCAATTCCCACTCACAGGGGTGTCATGAACGGTACACGTAACAACGCATGTGAGTCATTGAGTGCATGTCTTGATGATGTCATGGTAGTGGTGACTGTGATGAGAAGGGCAATGATAAAGACACAACAAAGCATCACTCCCCTGTGACCCTGCGAGGCAGCGGTTACCCTTCCCCATGGAAGTCAGAGGACTATAGGAGAAACATTCCCTCCCAGCTCCCCAAACTTCAGGGTGGTGCTAATGAGGAAGAGAATGAGGACTGTGAAGATGATGGTGGTGAAGATAGAATTAAGGATGAAAAGGATAGTACTGATGGTGGTGATAAAGATGATGGTGGGGGTGATGTTAACGAGGATGATGGTGGTGATGTTAATGAGGATGATGGTGGTATTGATGATGAGGATGATGGTGGTGGTGATGATGGTGATGATGATGAATGTGATGATGATGATGATGGTGATGATGATGATGATGGTGATGATGATGAATGTGATGATGATGATGATGGTGATGATGGTGATGATGATGATGATGGTGATGATGGTGATGATGATGATGATGGTGATGATGATGAATGTGATGATGATGATGATGGTGATGATGGTGATGAATGTGATGATGATGATGGTGGTGGTGATGATGATGTGAAGATGATGGTGGTGGTGATGATGGTAATGGTGGTGGTGATGATGGTGATGGTGGTATTAATGATGATGATGATGATGGTGATGATGATGATGGTGATGATAGTGATGATGATGGTGCTGATGATGATGGTAATGATGAATGTGATGATAGTGATGATGATGGTGCTGCTGCTGATGGTGATGATGATGAATGTGATGATGATGATGGTGATGATGGTGGTGGTGACGATGATGTGAAGATGATGGTGGTGGTGATGATGGTAATGGTGGTGGTGATGATGTTGATGGGGATGATGGTGATGGTGGTATTAATGATGATGATAGTGGTGGCAGTGATGATGATGATGGTGGTGATGATGATGATGGTGGTGGCAGTGATGATGATGATGGTGGTGATGATGATGATGGTGGTGGAGGCATGAAGATGATGATGAAGATGATGGTGGTGGTAAGGAGGATGGGTCAGCTATCATGTTCTGGGGCCTAACAATGACTTTCTAGATGCTTCACACACATTTTGTTTTTTCCTTTGCCAACTCAGCAGGGCAGGATTACAGCCCCCATTTCACACAGGAAGAAACTCGGATTCTAAGAATTTGCAAGAGACAGAACCAGGAGACCAACTCCTACCAGCCTGACCCCAAGTCCTGACTCTTCTTGCTGCTGAAAATGAAACAATATAAACTTTTAATAAGAGACTTATACACACAAATGGGAATCAAAGGACTGTATATAGTAATAAGCAACAAATTATGGGGAGGGTTTCACAAAGTTCATGGAAAATGACATAGAAAGATAACAGAGATTTCCCAAGTGCTTTTTGAAGCCCCCTGGTATGTATGTAAGAATACCTGCATGGGGTAACGGTGAAGCTACCATGACGGTGGTTTGTATTTCAGTGGCTGATATGGTCGATAGTCTCCCCTTTCTCTCTGCTTTCACCATTTTCCAAATTTTAATGACAGACATTATTATTTTTATTTTTTGCACACATATTTTACATTTCACTGTACAGCGTTAAAAGTGTATATTGTAATAAATTAGTTTTATACACAAGAGCAAAAATATATTCCAGGTCATAACATACGTTTAATATATTGCAATATAATATTTTCTGAAGTCGCCTTGAAATAGAAGCTGAAGACTGACTTACATTTGCTTGTTTTGAAAGAAGCTTCTGATATAACTCATCATCAGACTTCTTCTTCGGGAGAAGGCTCACGAGGCTCGTGTTTAGAATCTGAATAAACATCTATTGTCAAAAAAACAAAAAAAGACATGAGGAAGGTTTTTACAATCGTTTTAAAAATGAGATCTCACTCCCCTTTGATCTCTAGGCCCCTCCCATCTACTATCTCTCTGGATCTACCACTTAACTATGATCTATCTATATATATATCCACCTAAGGAGCTCTGGTAGCATAGTGGTTACGAATTGGGCTGCGAACCTCACGGTCAGCAGTTCGAAACTACCAGCTGTTCTGCGGGAGAAAGATGAGGCTTTCTGCTCCCATAAAGATTTACAGCTTCGGAAACCCTGTCTAGGGTCACTATGAGTCGGAACCGACTCGATGGCACACAACAATATATCCACTTACCGGTCTACTTACCTACCTACACACAAATCTTTTTACTATAGCAAAAGACCTCAGATCATGCTACAATGACCTATCCTGGATTGCATTTTCATGAGCTTTCTTAGAATGCTTTATTTCTTCTTTATCCACCCACTCAAAAAATATTAGGAGCCTAGTCCGCAAGGTTGGTGGTTCAAACTCACAAGCTGCTCCTCAAAAACCCTATAAGGGGTTGCTATGAGTTGGAACCAACTCGATGGCACTTGGCAACCACATCTCTGGTCAGGGTAAGGACTAGACTGCTATAACCCCAAATCTGGAAGTTCAAACCCATCAGCTGCTCCCTCATAACCCTTATACAGGGTGGCTATGAAATGGAACCAACTAGGAAGAAGGAGAGATGGATTTCAGAAAGTCACGAAAACCTCATGAAAAGAAGTAGAAAAATGTCAGCATCCGAACATGATGAAGAACACCACAACATTGTCAGCTATAGTGCCAGAAAATGAGCCACTCAGATTGGAAGGCACTCAAAATGTGACTGGGGAAGAGCTGCCTCCTCAAAGTAGAGTTGACCGTGATGATGCGAATGGAGTAAAGCCTGTGGGACCTTCATTTGCTGATGGGGCACAACTCAAAATGAACAGCTATAAACATCTACTGATTATCAGAACATGTATCTATGAAGTATGACTCTAGGAAAACTGGAAATTGTTAAAAATTAAATGGAATGCATAAATATCGATAACCTAGGCATTAGTGAGCTGAAATGAACTGGTATTGGCCATTTAAAATCAAACAATCACATGGTTTACTATGCTAGGAATGACAGATAGAAGAGGAATGGTGTTGCATTCATTATCAAAAAGAACATATCCAGATCAGTCTTGAAGCACAACATTGTCTGTGATAGGATAATATCCATACGCCTACAAGGAAGACCAGTTAATATCACTATTATTCAAATTTATGTACCAACCACTAAAGCCAGTGAGGCTGAAACAGAAGAATTCTACCAACTTCTTCAATCTGGAATTGATCAAACATGCAATCAAGATGTATTGATAATTACCGGCAATTGGAATGCAAAGGTTGGAAACAAAGAGGAAGGATTAGTAGTTGGAAAATACGGCTTTGGTGACAGAAATGATGCTGGAGAACACGACAGAATTTTGCATGACCAATGACTTCTTCATAGCAAATACCTTCTTTAGACAGTATAAGAGATGACTATACACATGGACCTCACCAGATGGAATACACAGAAATCAAATTGACTACATCTGTGGAAAGAGACAGTGGAAAAGCTCCATATCATCAACCAAAACAAGGCCAGGGGCAGACTGTAGAACAGACCATCAATTGCTCATATGTAAGTTGAGGCTGAAGGTGAAGAAAATTAAAACAAGTCCACAAGAGCCAAAATATGACCTTGAACATATTCCACATGAATTCAGAGACTATTTCAATAACAGATGTGATGAATTAGACATTAAAGACCAAAGACCAGAAGAATTGTGGGATGACATCAAGAACATCAGACAGGAAGAAAGCAAAAGGTCATTAAGAAGACAAGAAAGAAGGAAAAGATCAAAATGGAT